GCCTCTTGTAGAAAAAAGCGGGCCCACCTTGTGTCGGTTCAATGAGAATCAGCCTAACAATACTGCCGTCCCAAAGAATCACCTTGTCCTCAAGGTGAAAACTAGGAAATTGTTGTTTCACCCTCTCGTATGGCTCCCACGTAGCATCGTAGTCAGGAAGATTCTTCCGCTTGATCAATACTTTCTTAGTTCCATCTTCTTTTTGGCGAACCCCCATCAACTCTAAGGATTCCAGAATCACCTCTAAATCCTCAGTTAGTATCACCGGAAACTCCGAGCTGGTTGTATAATCTCTAATGACCCTTCTCAACTGAGATACATGGAAAACCGAATGTATAGTAGCCGTTGGTGGTAATTTTAGCCGGTATGCTACCGCTCCAATTTTCCCCAATAGTTCATAAGGTTCAAAGTACCTTGGAGCAAGCTTCTCACTCCTGTTGGCGACTGTCTTTTGTCTGTATGGTCGGAGCTTTAAGAACACCCTCTCCCTTACTTTGAATTGGATGTCCCTCTTATGTCCATCAGCTTGTTTCTTCATAATCTGTTGAGCTCTATGTAGATGTCTCTTTAACTCCTCTAACACTCTGCACTTCTCCTCCAAGTACTCCTCCATTGAAGGAACTAGAATACTGCTACTCCCAAAGTGCACCAAGTTGGGAGTATCCCTTCCGTACAACACCTTGAATGGGGTCATCTGAGAAGCAGAATGATAAGAGGTATTGTACTAGTACTCGACCCATGATAGCCACTTGGCCCATAGCCTGGGTGTCTCCGACACAAAGCATCTCAGGTAGGTCTCCAAGCTCATGTTGATCACTTATGTTTGGCCATCTATCTATGGGTGGTAGGCAGTGCTCCTCTTCAGAACTGCCCATTGTAATTTGAACAACTCTCCAAAAAAGGTTGAGGAACACCTTATCTCTATCTGATACTATCGCCTTTGACACTCCATGCAATCTGATCACCTCTTTGATGAAAGCTGAAGCCACTGTCACTGCGGTGCATGGATGTCGGAGGAGAATGAAGTGAGCATACTTTCTTAACCTGTCCACCACCACTAGAATCATCGTGAAACCATCTGAACGGGGCAGCCCATCTATGAAGTCCATGGATATCTCATCCCATACTCGTATCAGTAAAGCCAACGATTGTAGTAGTCCTCTTGACGACATCACCAGGTATTTGTTCCTCTGACAGACCTCACACTTGTCCACCATCTCCTCCACACCTCTGTGCATCCTCTTTCAGTACAACTTTGAGGCTAACATCCTGTATATCTTCTGCACCCATGAATGGCCCCCAGCATCGCTTCCATGAAACTCCTGGAGTAAGTTTGGAATGTGGATTGAGGTCTGGCGGATGCCACGCGAGCCGGGATTCCACGGGAGCGTTTTAGGAAGGAATTTTGAGGAAGATTAGGAGGGAATTGAATGTAGGGACTGTTTAGGGATTTCCTTTTGATTTGTATGCATTAAATACTTTGTTTTACTAGGGTTAGGGCATCTTGAATTTGGCTGAAATTTGAGATCTCTTAGATTTAGGTTTTCTTTTGGGCTCTAGCGGCTTCTAGAGATTTGGGAGAGATCGATCCTCCTCTCGAATTGAGGATCAATTGTATCTTGCTATTTTCTGTTTTCTTTTCATCAAACAATACAAATTATCTATTGTTTTTGTTGTTTTGTGCGGACTATTGTGGAGAAAGCTCGTTGTTTTCCGAAGATTGGTAAGAAATACTTGAGATCTACAAGTGTTTCCTATCAGTAATTTGCCACAGTTCCCTCCTGTGTCAATGCAACTGATTGCTCATAGAAGTCTCCTCCACTACCGGTTCGAAAACGTTCTAGTAAGCACTCTTTAAACTCCCTCCAGATCTTGATGGGTTGCCTCATGTCATGCCATTGGTACCATGCCAGTGCCTTCCCCTCCAAACATAGTTCTGCCGCCGTCAGCTTCTCTTCCTCCGTCAACCCGTTGACGGAGAAATATTCCACCTTGTAGATCCAACCATGTCCATCCTCGCCCTCAAAGATGGGCATCTTCAGCTTCCTCACCTTCGGGTTCCCCTCGTTGCCCGTGAATCCTTCCATTCCGCAAAGAGGAGGTGCTCACCCGTTGTCACGATCTTCCCTCCGGTGATCATACCCAACCCCTTCATTAAAATTCTCATATTCTTCTTTCAAATTCAGCACCTCTGCGGTAGGATTCCTACCTTCTCCCTACAAAATTAGCAACCTTTCTTTCGAAACCAGTGCTCATTTCCTTGCTAGAAAGTGGTTATATAGGAGGCATTTCAACTTCACCCTCCAAGATCTCCACTCATGGATTTTCCCTTCCCCTAAACATGTTAGAGTTTCCATCTCTTCCATTTCCGCCAATATTTACCCTTGCTTCCGCAATGTCGCCGGATTGGTCTTTGCTTCTTACAATTTTTTCAACATCTCTTCCATCACTGCGAACTTCTCTTTCATCCTTTCATTATTGGATGAAATCTGATTTTGAAAATCGGAAATTTTTTCCTCCAAATCTAATTTTGATTGTCCAATTTCTCCTTCCAAAACTTCAACCTTCTTCCCGGCCATAACTCTTCTTAAGATTTACGAGAAGATCTTCTTCTGGATGAAATTTCTCTGCTGAAATTTCAGGATTTCAGCGGCCGATGGTCCCAAGACAACGCTCTGATTTCAATTTGATAGGAATTACTTGAGTTCGCAAGCAACCCTTTTGATAATTGGTAACAACAGTGGGAATAATGCAAAAATATGGATGAAATCAATAAAAAATGATAGATTGCAATAATCGAATCAATGCCAAGCAAACACCAAAGCAAGATACAATTGATCCTCAATTTGAGAGGAGGATCGTTCTCTCCCAATCTCTAGACAAGGAGTCAAGATCCCAAGACGCCAAGGAAATTTCAAGAGAAACAATTCAAAACATGCATAACCCTAACCCTAAACAACCCATACTATTAATACATTAATTCCCTAATTCAAACTTCCCTAATTCAAAATTCCCTCCAATCCCTAGCCATCTCTCTCTCTCTCTCCCCTTAATTTGCTTCCTAGTGGGGTCCACTAGGCTTGGGCGGCATTCATTGGGAGGGGGCGGATCCACCTCCTTTATAAAAAATTGGCCCATCTTGGGCCGGCTGGGCTGGTTCAGTGAGAACCGGCCTAACAAATTGTTCTCGAGGATTGAATGAGAGCATTCTACGGTTCTACCAATATTGTTGATGATATTATTCTTTACCTTTGTTTCTTCAGATACATTTCTTCTTACTTACCTTTGCCCTGTGATGGGTTTGTTTTAGTCTCTGCCTTTTGAGATGCATTTTGGTAGCTCAATAGGACAATTGTGGATCTCTTCTTCTTATAAGAACGTTTTAACTCTTCAGAGTCGAGTTTTTTGTAATTTAGGGAAATTAATATAGTGAAAAATGCTTAATTTTAGTTATTAGTACTGAGTCATAGTTGTATCAGTAATCAAGTTTAGTTGGTTATTTTGTGCCATTTGTTCCTATTTGTCATTTTGTTAATTGTCATAGGTAAAATTTCTATATTTCATTTCAAACATGCTTGTTTATATTCTAATTTTATTATTAGGTTGTCCAAGAAAATATGGCTATTATTTTAAGTAGTAGGCCATAGGTTGTAATTTAAGGTGGTTTACTACAGAATAAACATATAAACTTTTTTAAGTATCCTCCATGGGGATCAGTTCCTCTCTCTTTTATTATGGCCGCATGATATTTTCTCTCTTTTTGTTCTTTCTTTAACTTTGAGGCAGTCACTTATTTCACCTTCTCAATCTCTTTTTTTTCTATACTTTCTTAGTTCTTACACTACACCTTCCTCGCTCTCCCTTTACACTAGATTTCCTTCTCAGTAGTCGAGATGTACAAATTCACCATCTCTACTTCCGCTGCTTTTGCTCTAGTAGGATTTTATGCTGAACTTAAATTTCTAAGACAAGTTCAACTCCATGTAATGATGGATGTATTGGAAGAGGCTTTGGATTTGGTAAATACTTTTTGTGGTTTGTTTGTTAGGAGGATCATGGACTGAGTTTTTTTTTTTGTTTACAGTAGTACTTGTGAAAGGTGGGTTTGTCAACCAATCATGTCCTAAATCTCTGCTGAACTCATCTCGTTGCAAACTCTTCTTTACTTTCATACAAAATTAACCAGCTCTTTGAGCTGTATACCACAAAGCTATTTGTAAAACATCAAAACGAGCAGGAATATGCCTGCAAATGGTTGTATTAGCACTGGAAGACCATGTATTAATAGTTGTAATAATCCAAGATAATATCATTCTAACATTTGTCTAATATTTATACAATCTTTGAAGAGGTTCTAATTAAAAAAATAGAAAAATCAGGGAATAATAATCAAAGAATATTATAATAATCCACCAACTGATCAGTGTCGGAATAAAAATTACAGTAGTTCACAGATTGATGAGTGGGCAGTGGAAGATGAAAGAAAGAGAGCAAAAGTTTTGGTGATTATGATCCACGCTGGCAAAATTATGCAACCATTTCACACTCACAAATATTGTTTTTTTGGGTGCCACTTGCGTGAGACCTGGCAAGGAATTTATAGATTTCATTGGCTTTGGCAAGAATTTGATACGCAAGAAAAAGTTTCTGCTTAGTGAATTTTTTCTTGTTTTTGGATTTATCTTTAAGGATTTAAATAGCTGTATAGCTGTTTTAGTCAGCAAGAATGCATTCCATGAATGCACTCAACTTTGTTTGTGGTTGCCACCGTTACTAATGAACCTGCTCACCATTTCTTGAGGTTGCAACATTTCATGAGATGTAGTCTCACTTGAAAATTATCTTTGATGTAAGCTAATGTGAAATTTGCCTTTTGAGGACTTTTCGTGGTTGGTTTTAATATTTTTACATGATTTATATATTAGTATTCCACTCCTATATTTTTCCTGTAAATTTTTGCAAAATGTTTGAAACAAAATTTTTTTTGTCATTATGTGCAGTGCCCAAATGGTCACACCCTGTGTTCAAAATGCAAGGCCACGGTACAGAATCGCTGCCCTATTTGCCGCCAAGAACTTGGTAATATTAGATGCTTGGCACTCGAGAAAGTAGCCGAGTCGCTAGAGCTCCCTTGCAGATACTTGACCGTTGGGTGCTCTGAAATTTTCCCGTACTATAGCAAATTGAAACATGAACAACTATGCAGATATAGGCCCTACAATTGTCCATATGCTGGTTCTGAATGTTTGGTCTCAGGAGATATTCCTACACTTGTGGCTCACCTCAGGGATGATCATAAAGTGGACATGCATGATGGATGTACTTTCAATCATCGTTATGTTAAATCTAATGCCCATGAGGTTGAGAATGCAACATGGATGCTAACTGTAAGTTTTTTCTTACTAATGGTTCACCATTTTCTGGTTTCCTTATGTGCTTATAGTTAGTCAATGGCTGTTCAGATTAGAGGTAGATTAGACATGTTGAGTTCAAGCTAGCTAGCCTCAACCCAAAATCTTTGATGTTTAGGTTTTCAATTGTTTTGGGAAACACTTCTGTCTCCACTTTGAAGCATTCCTAATCGGCAAGGCGCCGGTCTACATGGCCTTTGTGAGGTTCATGGGTGAGGACAGTGAGGCCAAGAACTTCCTCTACAGCTTAGAAGTTGGGGGCAGTTGCAGAAAGCTCATATGGCAAGGCGTCCCTCGGAGCATTAGAGACGATCACCGGAAGGTTCGAGATGACTATGATGGTCTGATCATCCACCGCAATGTCGCACTCGTCTTCTCCGGCGGTCGGCAGGAGTTGAAGCTGAGAGTCACTGGCCGCATCTGGAGAGAACAATGACTTTGATGCTATCTTTTTCTTTGGGTAGGGTTTAGAGGTAAATTTGGGGTCAGGATGGATCTCATAGCTGATAGATTTGCTTGAAGATGAATATATTATAATCAAAAGTTTTATTGTATTAATTATGTAGTAAATCTAACAGTTTTGAGTTTAATCATCCTCAAAAAATTGATGAGGATATTCTGATCCCTTTTTTCCCCAGGGTTTAGTGGGGTTCCCAACTTTCAATCCTGAGAAGTTCTGGATGAAGCTGGGAGTGTGGTTTTCTCCTTGCTCTGGTTTGGTTTGGTTTGGTTGTAGATTTGATGAAGTTAAGGGAGTTATTATCTTTTGAGCAGTCTATTTTAACTGTGGATGAAGACACTGAACTCATTTCTTGGCAATGGTGCCATTTTGAGTAGCTGTTTTATGCTTTTTCATATAATTATGAGTGACAAATGAAGAGACAATTAGAAGATAAAAAAAACAAAGAAGAATTTGACAACATTTTTTTTTTCTTATGTTCTCTATTATTTTGTTTCAACTCTTTTTATCATGTTGTTTGCTTTGATGTTAAACAAATATTGTATTTTCTTCATTTGAAATAGTTTGGTTGGATGGAAAACTAATATAGGGAAAGTGTTTCTTCATTTGATTGAACATAAATCATTTGCAATAGATATCTTGGAATCACATGTGTACAAGCAATGAGGAAGGAAAGAGAGAGGGGAAGCGCCGAGAATTAAGCGGCGAGGGTAATGGCGATGCGAAGAGTTAGGATGTATCAATTGATGAAGTGATGCTAAAATTTTGAATGGAGTGGTGAGGGTAACCACGACGCGAAAGAGTTAGGGTGTATCAATTGATGAAGTGAAAGAAGAATATAAGCAACACAAGAGAACTAGTGGAAAAGTAAGTGGATGATCATCTTATCCTCATTGGAGAATATATATCACTATCAATTTCATCATCAAAGGGAAAGGTAATAAAATTTTTATCTTGTCAAAAAAAAGAGGTTTCTACCACTTTTCTTTTAAGGAAAGTGCATAAAATGAAAGAAAAATTTGTGTGAAAATAAAAGAAGTTTAGTAATGTAATACTTGTAGAGGAGACTATTCATTTAGATATATTAGAACTTTTTATTCTTTATCAACTTTCGAAGATTTGATGTTATCGTACTTAGAGCTGTCAATTTGGATTGACAGATTGAGTCCGAGTTAGACCTAAAATTGACAAACAGAATTCGGCTAACTTGAATTAAACTTGTTTATTATATGGGTGAAAGTATTTTACCTAAATTTAACCTAGAGCGAATCTGACCATTCTAAACTATTTATTTTATAGGTCTTGTTGTATTTTTTTTTTTTTTATCAACTTGAGCCATCTAACCTTAATATGACATGTTTAACCTAACTAATCATACCTAAATAGCTAAACCTTGGATTATATGCAAATGTAGTGATATTGTGCATGCAAAAAATCCGTCTCCACTTATTTTTCAATAAAAATAAATAATAATATTCAATAAAACAAATGAAAATAAGCTCTTTTTATTTAATTCATGTCCCATTACCTATTTATGATTGTTTTTTCTTAATATTTTCATGCAATATTCATGGAGATGGTTATCCTAAATATTTTCATGCAATGTTTGTGGAGAAGGTTATCCTACTCCAAATAAAACAATGAAAAGTCTAACATCAACCACAAAAAACAAAAACGACTAATATATTACAAAATTTCAATAATATCTAAACAAATTTTGTTTTGTAAATAATTTTAAGAGAAGAAATAAATATGAGTGGAAGGCTCTTTTCTGAGGTACAAATGCTAATTCAATTAATGGGCTGGCCCCAACTGGAAACTAAAGCCCATTTAAACTTATATATCTCATAGTGAGCCCATTACGATTCTAGAGGGCATTCGTAAGAATTTGCTCCACTGGCTCCTTGTCCTGTTGTTTGTGTGTCTCGTTGGAATATTTTTATTGTGAGCTCATCAAAATATTAAATCAAATATTATATTTTATATTACTTTTAACTCCATTAAATTATGGTCAAATTAAATATTATTTATTATTTATCTTTGGAGATATCTCATTAATTTTTATATGAAATTTATTATGTATAGAAGCCGGACATTTTATTATTTTATTTTTGTAATGAACTAAAATAATTTAAAATAGGATTATGTCCCCAGTCATAGAGTTGGTTTTTATTTTTCTCATTTCTCATTTTGAGTAAAAAGAAAGCTCTCTCTTTCTCCCTCAAGAACGTCACATGAAAGACTAAAAACCCGAACTCTTATGATTCAATGGATCCATTTATGCTTTTGACTAAGACTTCGTTTGGGATAGTTGTATTAATGCTTTTTAAAGTAACTTTTCAATACAAAAATTTTAGTTCAAGAAATTTTTGTAGTAAAAAGTTGCTTTAGAAAGTAATAAGAAAATTGTTCCAACTGAAACCCATGTCTTTCTTAATAATTTAACATGAGATTTTGGATAGATGAATTAATTTTTCATTTGCTCCGCGGTTTTCTTATGTTGGCAGAGTAGAAATAAAGGCACTCATGGTGGTTCTGAAAACTGTGATTCCTTCATTGTTGTGACTGCTGTTAGTTATGTAGCTGCATCCTTTTGTCTTAATCACATCAAGGAGAGTTGGGATACTAATCAGCTTTTTAAGCTGTCTCCGAATTCTTGGTATCCCCCTCCTCCGGGGTGGCTTAAAGTCAATTTGGATGCCTCCTTATCTAGTTCCAATTTGGCAGGAATTGGGGGAGTTCTCCGGGACAGCAAAGGAGGTTTTATTGGTGCTTTTGGTATCAGCTTGATGCATTAGGATTGTTCTCATTTGGATATCCTTGCTGTCGCATATTTGGGGAAATATATTCAAAATGGGATGAATGATTGGAGAGGCCTTATTTTCAAAACTTTGTAAATAAGGTGGACATCAAGATGGAGGGTGTTGATCCAAAGGATTTCCTCTATCTCAAAGATTTTGGTCAGGTTATTTTCAACATGTGAAGAGGGAAGGTAATAGAGTTGCTGATTTTTGTGCTAAGGTAACAATTTCCGGTAGTTTTTTTTTGAATTCTTTTGTTTGTTCAGAAATTCTTTTGTTTTTTTGCTTTGTTAAAGGAGGATATTTTCTCAAAAAAAAATTATAATAATAATTTTTCATTTTCAAGTATTATCGATTTTTCTTCATAATTTTACAATTTATAATTAATTTTTTTTACAAATATAAATAAAAATTTTTAAATTATGATCAGATGTAATTAAAGTTTTGTTTGGGACGACTTTTTTCTGTTTCTTAAAATAGTTTTCTAGTAAAAAAAATTTAATTTTTATACTAAAAAGCTGCCTTAAAAAGCATAAAGAAAGTCGTCTCAAATGAAACCTAAAGCTAAAGCTAAATGGAATATAAATTTTGTCTATTTACTTGAAGGCCAAAGCTCACAAGGACTTGGGGAAGTTGAAATATGCAAATATGAAAATTTAGGATTAATTTTAGCAAATAATTTTGAATTAATGATGATCATAGAATGAAGACCCCAAAATAGGTATTTTTGTAACGATGTAATCTAAACATTTAAGAAGAAGAAGAAAGAAAAAAAAAATCAAATGAATCAAAATTACATGCATATTGGGGTCCAAAGACGAAAAAAAAAGAAAGATGGAGGTTTTGTTTGAAAAAAACAGTCAATAAATTGAATAAGAATTTTGAAAACTAATGAAATATTGCATTGATTTGAGGGGTCAAGCTATGGAGTTTGTTCCCATACAAATGGAATATTTTTTGCATTGCTTTGGTGAGATAAGCAAGGTATGCAATAGGATAGAAAAATTAATCTAGAAGGATGAGGAGACCAACTTTTGCTTATTCAATTCTATGTCAAGCTTATTTTTCCTTCAAAGATTTATTTTTAAGTACGTAGCTCATTTTGATACGTTGGTCAATAACTTTTCCTATCAATTAAAAATTTTTAAGTTTGAATATTACGTATGTGTTATGTGTTAATTTATCTTAATTGATCTAAATATTTCAAAAAAAGATTTTTTTTTTTAAGTATGCATCGCAAATATCAAAATTCCTTAAGTTGATCATTAAATCTTTTTTTTTTTCATCAGATTAAATATTTCTTAACTTGTAGATCCATAATAATCATTTTAATATTATGACATGAATTATTTAATACATTTTGTTAATGCTATTATATTCTCTCAGAAATGATATGCTACATAGCCTGAATACAACAAAATTGTGCAAGAGCCTTTATCTCACTACATGAATATTTATTATTTTTATCCAACATTTTAATATTTTAGTATCTTAATAATATCAAAATATATACAATGATATATTTCATTTTAGAGAAATTATTAGTAGTGATATTTTTAATGCGATTGAACAATTTAAATATTATTTAAGTAAATATCAAAATTCAGATATTAAATATATAAGTATATAAAAAATTTATGATTTGCATGAAAAATCTCTCTTGTATTTTTAAATAATTATATTTATATATAAAGAGATTCATAAAAAGTCTAAGGAAGCATAATTCGACCCAAAGAATTTAGTTTTTAATGATTTGTATAATATATTAGATAGTAAGGAGGTCAAAAAATATATGTATAAAGAGGTCAAAAATTATTGTTATAGATTTCTAACCATTTTTATAGATCAATTTACTTTATTGATTTATACGATTATTTATTTATTGGATAACATAGCTACGACGTTGATTTGCAATGATTGTTACAATTTTACTATTTCTACATCCATACTACACTATTTTATAAATTTTACTATTGCCACATCATGTGTTTTATTATTTTTGCAGAGATTTATGATTATATCCGCGGGCAGCCGCGGGCAGGCATCGCGGGCAGGCTCCGCTGGGCAGCGCGGGCGGGCTCAGCGGGCAGGCGCGGGATTCAAATTTTTTTGAATTAAACGGGTTCGCGGGTTGACTTGGCAACCCGCCGGGTCAACCCGAACCCGACCCGTTTTTTAAACGGGTCGAATCTGTGAACCTGAACCCGACCCGTTTATCAAACGGGTCGGGTCCAACCCGGATTTTCCGGGTCGGGTCCGGGTCGGGTTTTCGGGTCGTGTCAAAAGTTGACACCCCTAATTACATGCATACTATTTTTACACAGTTTGAGCTCAGTAGTATGTTCTAATGACCCATTAAGTTTTTTAAGCTCAATATATGTGACTAAATGATTCCAGGTCAATGAAGATTATCATGAGTGTGATTTTTATTAGATATAAGATTATTCAGGTTTTTCTATTATCTTGCCTTGTAATTATTTTTTTGTATGCATAACTGGACAGTCAATATATTGTGTCTGTATGACTCTTTGATTTTTTCGTATGATTTTGAAGTAATGAACACAAATTTATTGATGTTTTGATCAATAGATTTATTTCCGTTGATATTTTAGTATTCGAAGAAATTAAATAGCTCCAGTTGTTATTATAAAAAGATAAAAG